CCTTGTTTGTCATTAGTTTAACTCTGGGCCACCATACTGTGGCGCCGTATGTAATTATGGGCCTTTCAACCGCAGTGTACAATATATCCAATGCACAACGTGCGGTTGCAGTAACCAAGTTTTACCAAAAAATGCTTCTGCATGTCCAAAAAGCCTTATAGGCTTTATTGATGAGCTTGTCCAGCTGCTTTTTCCATGTCAGTTTCTTGTCTAATACTAGACCAAGGTACTTAACATCGCTGGAGAGCTGGAGACGAGGACACCCCCAGGGTCTCTTCTGATAGTGTGGCAGCTATGGTTCTGCTTTCCAGCATAGCACTGTTTCACCTGGATATTGCAGGCTCTATGCCATGCTTTCCAGCGGCCCGTTTGATTATATCAAATGAGGTTCTATCGAAAGCTCCCTCTATGTCAAGGAATGTTCCTAAGGCAATATCCTTGTGTTCAATCGCATTTTCTATGCGTGTTACCACATTATGTAGTGCGCTTTCCGTAGATTTACCTGTCTGGTAGGCATGCTGGTTTTGGTGTAGAGGATATGTCCTCAACGCCCCGTCCCTGATATGCCTGTCCACTATTTTCTCCATCGTTTTCAAAAGGAAGGACGACAGGCTGATAGGATGATAAGCCTTAGCCACGGTGTAATCTAGTTTTCCGGGATTTGGGATGAACGTCGCCTTAACTTGCCTCCAGGCCATGGGGATAAATCCATATGCCATGCAGGCTCTATATATGCGGCATAGGTGTGGAACTAAGAGTTCTGCCCCTTGCTGCAAAAGTGCAGGTACAATTCCATCTGTACCCGCTGACTTAAGTGGTCTAAAGTTATTTAGTGCCCATCTGATTTTTGATTGGTTAATTATGACTTTGGCCAGGTTCCAGTCAATCCTGTTCGTCTTGCTTTGGCAAGTGCCCAGGTTTTGCTGACCCTGTCCGTCGTCCAACTTATAAATCAATTTTGAATCAGGAACCCTGAATACTTCGTTCAGTGTCTCCCTTCCTGTCTGAGTAAACTGCCTCTTAGGCAGCTTAGTCGTGTTCACCTTGTTGGTCGCCTGTTTTTCCATGATCCTCATGAGTCTGGCACCGCCTTGTACATCACTGATCTCCTAGCAATTCCTCCTCCATGAGGATCGCTTGGCACTCAGCACGTTAACTGTCCCCTGTGAGAGTCCTGTGACTATTTTGTAACCGGTCCTCTGTATAATAGTATAAGAGTCCCGGTCTATGAATAAGATGAACCTTTGGCCTTTCGACTCAGATTGCTTATCGAGTACCCTCCAGTTCTCAGTATGAAGTCCTGGGTTGAGGTCTGCAATCCATTTCAGCAGCTCTTCCTGATTCTGGGCAACTTTGTTCCTAGTCCGGAGAGCCACTTTAACAGGCTTGGGCAGGTTCCTGACATCAGCAGCCTTCAGCCTGGCCCTTGATTCCAGCCTGTGGATGTC